TGATTTATTAATTTTATTCAAAGTAGTTTTGGAGAAAATTTCAGTTTCCTCCTCATTTTCTAATTGGGAAAATCCAAGGAAAAGGACTGACAGAAAATTTCAGGATAGATGAGTGGTAGTGCCAACAACAGAAAATGCATCCCAGCTCTCCATCAGTGCTCTAACCCTTGGAAAATACTGCATTTTTAGTACCAAAAAGATCAAGTCCTAGGAATTGATGTTGGGGTTTTTTCTTTTGTAGCAGAAAAAAATATCAGGGAGCAAAAGAAGTGATCTTTCCTACTTCTTCTACCCATTTTTGCCAGCTTCTACAACTTTTTTGGTACAAAAAAGTTAATAGTTGACTACTGATGTTATTTCCTTATTATACTCCAGAGAGTACATTTTAATATCTAAATAAACAACACCTTAAGCCTGGCATGATGCCAGATGAAAATAGCAGTCTTTGTTCAAAGCAAGATCAGGAAGTCAAGAAGGGACACGAATACTTAACTATAGCAAATGTTTACACTTCATTGTCAACGTCATAACTCCAGTGATGACGGGCGTAAGGCATGAGAACAGACATGATTTTTACGAGCACTCCTCAGAGCTTTAGGCCTCCTGACACCAGGAAACTGGAGGACCACAAAGCGGACCCTGAAACTACACTAGCTTTTCAAGTGGGAGGCCCCCTCAGGACCCAGCTTGTGTTACCACTGAGCAGTGACCCACTGCCATCCCCACTTGGCTCTCCATCCACTCAGACGCTGCAGTGAAGAAGCCGCAATCTAACACACATGTCAATAAAATTTCTTCATCACCAGAGGAGATTTCCTCTCTACTTGACTACCAAACGCCCACTTTTGCCTCCAGCACTGTTACTCAGGCACCCAGCCAGGAAAGAAGGTTTTTTAAAAAAGAAAGAAAGGAAAGAAAGAGGGAAGGAGGGAGAGGGAGGGAAGGAACGAAGGAGGGAGGGAAGGAAGGAGGGAGGGGGGGAGGGGGGGGGGGAGGGAGGGAGGGAGGGAGGGAAGGAGGGGAGGAAGGAAGGAGGGAGGGACGGAAGGAGGGAAGGAAGGAGGGAGGGAGGGAAGGAGGGGAGGAAGGAAGGAGGGAGGGGGGGAGGGGGGGGGGGAAGAAAGGAAGGAAGGAAGTAAGGGAGGAAGGAAGGAAGGGAGGAAGGAAGGAGGGAGGGGAGGAGGGAGGGAGGGGGGGAGGGGGGGGGGGAAGAAAGGAAGGAAGGAGGGAGGGAGGGAAGGAGGGAGGGAGGGAGGGGGGGGGGAAGGGAAGGAGGGGGGGAGGGAGGGGGGGAGGGGGGGGGGGAAGAAAGGAAGGAAGGAAGTAAGGGAGGAAGGAAGGAGGGAGGGGGGGAGGGGGGGGGGGAAGAAAGGAAGGAAGGAAGTAAGGAAGGAAGGAAGTAAGGAAGGAAGGAAGTAAGGAAGGAAGGAAGGAAGGAGGGGGAGAGAGAGAGAGAGAAGACAGAAAAGAAAGATTAAAGAGGTGCAATGCAGTACTGAATGATGGTGAAATATCTGGTCACATCAACTGCTGCTCTAATTATCAGTCCTACATGAAGATATATTTTAAATAGACAAGAGAGGAAAACAAGCCCTGAACAGTGCATGAGACAGTGATTGATCATAAAGTTTGAAATTATGAGTGTTGCTTGTCATCAGAAGTTTATCTGAAATGGGATCTTCTACCTCAGGGAATTTCTTCTTTTTGAGATACTCTGTGACTGCAGGATCGAAGTATTTAGCATAGCCTTCATTGAGACTGTAGATATTTCCCTTCTTTTTGATTTTCACATCTCTATCCACTAAAATGAATTCTCCAATTGCCTAACAATAAGAAAGAAAAACAATTTGAGCTCATTTATTGACAAACCACAGCAAAAACCAATCATACACACAGTTTAGGAAAAAATTTACTGCAGCTGCCACTTTCTTCAGTAATTCAGTACCCACGAAAAAGTGGTATTTGTAGTCTAGATGAGAAGTGTTTTGTTTATCCATAAAACACAGAGAGACCATGAATCCTGGGGTCATGCAACTTTCTTCATACTACCATTCCCAGCTCTCTATCACTTTTCTATGCCAAAAAATGCTGTTGCCTGTAAATTTATTTAGCTCTCCACTCTTTTGCTAGACTTGCAATAAAAGTACAGCTCTGAGGAGTTTGGAAACTGAGAGTGCCGGTTGAAGCAATGCATAAACCTCTTCAAATAGCTATACATATTAATAAATTCCAATTTGTCTTAGCTTCGGCTAACTGGAAGACTGGAATCAAGCAAGCCAATCTCTGTAACCAAGGGCTGGTCTGTTTAGTTTTCACTGAAGTAAATTTCCAAGTTAGTGCTAAAAATAAAATAACATGCACGCATGCTCAAAGTTAAATATGCTATGTGAATACAGACAAAAATACATGCAGCTACTTAAGCTGTTACTTAACAGGGAGCACCAAGTTGTATTTCTTGCTGCTTGACCACTGCAGGTTCTAAAACTTTAATACTGGCAGGTGGCACAGCCTGACTAACTGATTACAGAAAAACGGGTCACTAAAGCAAACTACTTTCTGCTATGATCAACATGACTTTTATTTTAAAACTCATGCAGTCAATGCGTGCTAGAACGTCAAACGCACCCACACACGTCACTTACTCTTTTACACATCATGGTGGGATCTGAAAACACAGAAGAAGGTTAAATATTTCTGTTTCTCTGGTTTACTACGGTCCTAGCATTAAGGAAAAGACAAACAGATCTTAAAGGGCATTCTGCATTGCAGAAAACAGCTTATTTTAACTACCAGATGATTTGGCACATGCTGTATATTTGCTTCACTGACTTGGCTGCCTTCCCGTTGTTGAGTCACACATAGCACCGCTGCAGCGGGCAGGAAGAATGCAAACATCTCTTGACATTATTGCTGATGGCTTATTAAGTGTACTTCATGTCTCCACGTTAGCTTGAAAATTGCTCCTTTGTTTGATTTTTCGGGGGGACAAACAGTTCTCATAGACAGTACCATGTTATCCCTGAACAAGAAACAAAGAAACAGAAGACATTCTCACCGGATCCAGCATGAAACAGTTGACACCTCCAGCAGAAGTGGCCAGTACCAGCATTGTGGCACTCCCATACAGAGCATAACCAGCTGCCACAAGATTACGCCCGGGTTGTAAAGCATCTTTCCCGGAAGGTTCATCAGGGGACACCTAGAATAAGAAGGAGCATAGCCAACTTTACTTCATTGCTATAGCTGGTACATAACTGGACTCTCTGGGATAGGGATGGTCTTCTACTCCATATCCATGCGTGAGGTGTCACAAATGCTTCCATGATCCACAACTGAGATTCCTACTGGATGCACTAATACAAATTATATGGAGGAGACAAACACATTGATCTTGAAATGCTCTTGTATAAGCCTAGTTGGAATGCAGGAAGCAGGAAAGGATTAAGGAGATAATATAGAGCTGTGTAACTCCTTGTAGGTGATGATGAACACAGCTCGGAGGAAAACTCCGAGGCACAGTTGAAAAGCAAGCAATGAAACATGACTCACGGAGTTTACAGCTGATCAAAAGTACTTGGGATTTTTTGGGGTTTTTTTGCTTCATACAAAAATGAAGTTGAAGTTTGGGACGTATGACAACATACAAAAGATTATTAAAATGGACAATTGGGTGCGTTTTATCTGACTTACTTTTTCCCCCATCTAGTGACATGTAAGTCTGGTATTTCAAGCTCCTTCAGACAGGGTTTCTGCCTTTCAGAGTGAATTAGACACTTCAAATGCACATGCCATGTTTCAGCTCTGGTTTGTGTTTGAAGCCTGTCCTCAGGCTACGAGGACTATTAGTACAGAGAACAAGAAAACCTGAAAGCACATTCCCCAAGCAGATGACAACCACGTGGTATTTTGTCTCAACACAAATATTCATGAAATCTAAGACCTGATTTGTTTGTAAGGGGTAATTCCTTTAGCTGGCTAATTAAATATCAGCCAGCTTAATTAAATATCAGGCTTCCATGTACATATAGGTACCTCATCTTCTAAAAGAGTAATGCAAATCCCTCACAAATGTTTTATACAAGTGTCTGTGAAACAGCAGATTTAACTTAAAGCTGGTCCTGAGAGTCTCTTTCACAAACAAGTTTAGTTAGATTTTATTAAGTCTTCACATGCAATTATATTTCATCAAAAGTTGCACAATAACAGTTTTTCCTATCCTACATGAAAGCATTTTACCTTTCTATAGATGGCAAAGATGGTCCCAATGGAAACAAGACAGTCAATGTTCGATGAGCCATCTAGAGGGTCTATGCAGACTATGTATTTACCCTAGAAAATACAAAAGAGAGAACAACTAGATTAGTGACATTATTTACCCACTTCCCCCAGATAAAAATACTTCAGTAGGTAAATTTTCTCAGAGACTTTCAAAGCAACATAAACTAAAAGGCTTATATAGTTTATGAAGGAAATGAATTCAAATGTTAGAAATTCTTTGGCCCACGTTTCATTCTTGATTACAACTGTGCGATTTGTGCCACAGCAGAAGCTGGGAACTCTTTAAAGTAAGCAATAGATGATGAGACAGGAAAGGTGAAGTTTTCCTACATGATTTTTAATATATATAAAAAAGAGAATACTTTTAAATTATTAGTTTCGCTTCATCTATTTAATTAATGCTGACCCATTTTGATAGACATCCTGTAGTATCTACTCATCTCTAACAAAATTACTTTCTGAATTATAAGGAAAAAGGCAAATGAAGAAGATCAGCCTTTTTCTAAAGCTAAAATTAGAGAGATTAGAAAGGCCTTTAACACTTAACATTCATAAACTATACATTTCACTTTACTGCATGTTCCACTTTAAACACTGCAGTGAAACTCTGCGCTCTGAATGGACAGATGCTTAAAAATTATCTTAGCCAATCTGTGGTCTTATCCTGTTTTTTGGGGGTTTTCCCCCAAAAAAAAAAGAATGGTCCCTGCCTATTGCTGTATGAAGGATTCCTGTAGGTACAGGAAATTGCCAGTACAGGGAAAACAGCTGAATCAACTGTACCTTTTAAATAGCTTGTTTCCCCCTTATTTTATCCACAGTCATTTTAATAATCACGTGTAACAACAGTAAGTGTTCATTTGCTTTTTGTGAATAGAAATAATAATAAATAAAAAATATTTTTCTTTCATTGTTATTAGGTCTTTCATGGGCTTCAAGGAGAATTTGCCTGAACTCAAGATTTGACCTGCACAGAACAGCTCCTCAGTGTCCTACCGACAAAGCTACTTTACAAAAGGGCTTGGCTGACTCAGAGAATAGTTCCAGAGATCAGATGGGATAAAAAAGAAATAAGTTTCCTCCACAATTAAGAAAAGGTGGGAAAAAAAGAAGGTGGGGAGGAACAACAGAGAAAAAAATTAAAACAACAAACATCAGTCTCGAGAGCAGAAATAACAGAGAGGACAAATGTTGACTGACACTCCCTCCACCACCCCGACCCCCCTTCATTTGCCAATATAGAAAAGTACACGTTTTCTGAAATTTTTATCTCAGTTTCAGTTTTTCAGATCTGAAGCAATACACCTGTAAAGGCTGATTTGAAATCAAGCAGGGAGAACCTTTGAAGCTACTAACCCTTTTTTCAGTTTCCACTATCACAGCATCTTTGTTTTCTTCTGACACGATAACACATGTACTGAAGGATGACTTGAGCATATTAATCACCAGGTCATTGGAAAGGATGTCCAACTTCTTTACTTGATCTCCTGTCACATTGGTAGACCCAGCAATTCCATAGCTAGAGCAATGGCAAGAGAGAGCATTCCGTGAGAACGGGGCACTACATCTTCCAAAGCGCCCTGTTTCTGGCAACCTGATATTTGTAAAACAAACAGCACTTTTGGATGATATCTCAGTTCTCTAAGCCTGTTTTTTACTGCCCAGCGGATTCTTGCTGAGACCTGCTAGCGTTAGCTGTGGTGGCAAATCTGGAAGACACGGAACGTGAGGAACACGAAACAAGGAATCACCTTTCAATAGTCCCTAAACTATAGGCAAACATAGCCAGAGCAGGCTGTGAAGGCTGAATTACAATAATTGTGTTATTTAATGAGCTCTTAACTTTAAGACCTAAATGCTGCCCCTGAATCCTAGGCTCCGATATTATAGCTGCATACCATAAAAGCTAAGACTTCATTAGAAAATGTACACTTAGAAAGTAACAATGAATCTGAACGACACTAGTTACACTATAACTTCCTATGTAATTTGCTCCTGGTTAGCAATATGATGTACAAATTGCAGTAGAAACACTTTGCTCACAGATAAATCAACATTTTTATGGTTCAATGTTTTCCGTTTTGATTCTAAGTAGTAAACATTTCCTTGGCAGCAAAACTGAGGAGTACAAATACGAAACACAAATAAAACCCTGCCAACTAATCAGAATCGAACCATCTGGCATCAGGAAGTACCAGGAGACCTTGTGGTAGGTGATTTCGAAAGCATGCAAAACAGAGAGAGGGGAAGTTTAGCGCTCAGAAGAGAAAAACAATCATCAGCTCCACACACATTTAGATGACTCTTACGTACTTCAGCTACAATTCATTGATTAGGCTGAATACTGGTACTTCAGGTTTTCATAATAACGCTGAACATGCTACTTTGAATGTACTGTATTTCTTCAGTTTAATGCATGAGGCAAAGAAAAAGACCTGCTATAATTCTCTCTTTCTCTCTCTCTCTGCTACAGTGGCTTGAACATTTTTCTGCAAGTGTGAAAGTGCTTTTAGAAAACAACATACTTGGAACACCATGCTTGCGAGCGGAGACACAAATCCTCATCCTAAGAGCAAAAACTCCTTACGGCCAGCAGCTACAGCTCTCACACCTCCCCTGTTGGGGAGTCCTGGGAGGGGACGGCAGGGTGCCCTGCGCCGGAGCCTGCAGCTGGGAAGGGACTGTGGCTGCCCCAACTGTTCTGCATCTCCGCTGCTGGGCAGCACTGGGCATACAGCTGAGTGTGGGGACGATCCAAAAAAATGGGCCCCAGAGATCCCTACTTGTTCACATTCCCTGATAGCCAAGCAAAATCCCACCACCGGTTAGGAAACGCAGTCCCACAGTGGGAGATGTACTGCTCAAGGAGGCTCACAAGTCCGAAGCTGGCTACCCCAGCACCGGTGGAGAGTTAAATCCACCAAAGGGAATCATAAGGCAAGGCTGTCAGCATAGGCATCGAACCTGTGGGCAGCTGTCAACAGACACACATGTAGGACACGTAAGGAATGGGACCTTAGACTGCTACAAATCAGGTCACAGATGGGAAACCCCGGTCCTTACTGATAGACACAGGAGGCACATGAAAGGGCTAGCACATAGTGATTAAAAATCTATCACACTTATATAAAAATCTGAAGCAAGACAGAGAAAAATAGTGCAAATATACATGAAGTGGAAGATTTTTATTCGCTCTTGCAGTTGCTTCTGTTTTATTAACTTCAGTCACCAAATTTTTCAGCTCTCTGATACATTTTGTAATAAATGTTACTCTGTATTGCCAGAGGCCTTCCGCTTTTTTTGTAGTGTATTTTCCACTACATGGCTTGTAGAGGCAAATTCATTTTCTCGTTACTACATTTTCCATTAAATAATGAAGCAGCCCATGTCTAAAGCCCCGATCAGCATACAATTTGGCTTAGCAACAATATGTAAAATACTCAGGGAGATTAGTTACCTACAACCAGTTTCAGTTAACATTTCAAGAGCTCTGCTTTCCTTCTGATGCATCTGCAGGGCAACTCCCCTCTCACTGGCTGACTACAGACACTACTGCTCCTAACCAATGCTCTTGCATCCAAATCTTTATAGAGAAACTCAGGTTGCTATGATGCAATATGAAAAAAAACCCACTGAATTTGATTAAACACCTCATAGCATAAAATGGTGCTTTGATACTAAGCTACTGACTGCAGTGAGCAATAATAATTCAGCCATATTTTGACAGGCTTTGTCTTTCAGTCTTCTGGTTCAAAGCACCCGAACCTGCTGAGGGTTTGCATGAAGGTCTATCAGCAGCAGACATCTGTCAGGGACTGCATGCCTTGTATTATTAAAAAGTCATAGGATTCATTTCACTTGAGAAAATCAGGAGTCCACGGTGCTAAAGGAGCTAGTTACATCTCTGCGCAAGGGGGTGGGTGGATGCAACACCGCTCACACGCCTTTCGGGTGACACCCCCCATCC